TGTATTGTATCCTGGGAATTTACAAAAAGTAGGGAGAAAAGGAAAGAAAAGGCTAACTATGTGGTAAGGATAGATACATTAATTTATTGAATATAGTAATTATCTCCTTATATCAAGACATCATGTTACATACCTTAAATGTACACAATAAAATTTTTCAAATAGGAGCTGGGGCTGTAGCTCAGTGGCAGAGTGTTTGCCTAGCATGTGTGGAGTACTGGGTTTGATCCTTAGCACCACATAAAAATAAATAAATGAAATAAAACAATTATTTTTTAAAAAATTTCTCAAATAAATTTAAAAAGTTTAAATCAAGTTACTTTTTAAAACCATACAGCAAGGGGCTGGGATTGTGGCTCAGTGTTAGAACTCTTATCTAGCATATGCAAGGCCCTGGGTTCTATCCTCAGCACCACATAAAAATAAACAAAATAAAGGTATTGTATCCAACTACTTCTAAAAAATAAATATTTTTTTAAAACCATACAGCAATACTCTATATATTAAAGTTAGTATGAAACATTAATTTAAAGTTAATTTCGAATTTTTTAAATTATATTTTAATTCTGTGTATTACACTTCATTATTTTTAATTAATAATTTTATTTGGTGACTCAGGTCCCACCTACATGGAATATGGGGGGAAATCCTTTTAAACTTCAAAAGTATACCACTTGGCCAAGCAATTCCACTCCTAGGCTTTTATCCACAAGATACAAAAACATGTCCACATACAGACCTGTATAAGAATACAGTAGCTTCACCTACAATAGCTAAGGCTGGAGACAACCCAAACACCCATAACAAAGGAAGCAATAAGCAACAACTATCGTGATTCATAGGATGGAATACTACCCGAGAGTAAAAAGAAACTACTGAATGTGTTCTAGTGAATGAAATCCATGAAAATCATGCTACGTGAAGAAGAGCTGGATACAAAAGATAACATCCCATCTAATTCCATTTTTTGAAGTTCTAGAAAATGCAAAGTTAATCTCTGATGAAAACAATCAGAACATCAGGTGAGAAGCAGAAACTGCCTAGGAAGGAGACTTGTGGAAACTTCTGGGTGATGTAAATGTATGTATCTTTTTTTAATATTTATTTTTTAGTTGTAGTTGGACACAATACCTTTATCTTATTTACTTATTTTTTATATGGTGCTGAAGATCGAACCCAGGTCCTCACACATGCCAGGCAAGTGCTCCATCTTTGAACCACAACTCCAGCCCCAAATATATATATCTTAGTGGAGTGATGGATACCTGGGAATCGTCATTGTTGAAAATGTGTAGTTAAGGTATTAACTACACATTTAATTTCCAATATATTTTACTTCAAAAAAAATCATGTAGAAATAGGTAGAGATGTGGGTGAAATAACATGGCAAAATTTTAATCATTGTTAAAACTGAGTTACAGGTGTAGTCTTTTATTATGCTATTCCTTTTGTTTTCTATAAAGTTTAAAAATATACATCACTAAAATACACAATCAAAAAATTTTATACCACACAAATATACTTACCAAGAATTTTTTTTTTATTTTTTTTTTTAGTTGTAGATGGAAACAATGCCTTTATTTTATTTATTTTTATGTGGTGCAGAGGATCGAAACCAGTGCCTCACACATGCCAGACGAGTGCACTACCACTGAGCCACAACCCCAGCCCCAAGAATTTTTGTATGCAGAAGGCATTCCTAAAGATCTATGGAGATCCCCCGTGTCCTATGCTTCATGTGGAGAATTTTAAATGTAGCTCATTATTTTCTCCAGCTCCCCTCACCCCAACTCCTAGCATGCCTCCCACCTAATGGACCATCAGAGTGAAAATATTATGGTTGTCTCAACTACTACCAGCCCCCAAATTAATTCTTCTCTAGACCCTAACTTACTTATTTCTAGCAAATATGGTACAGATGGAGAAACCAAAGCTGCTAGATATGCTGGAACAAACAAATGATTTAATAGATCCCAGTCTCAATATTTCTTTATTCTCACTATTCTCTGAAGACAATGTTTGTTTTGACAAGTTATAGACATGAATTTTCAGAATAACGAAGTCCACAGAACACTAACCAAGGCAGATGATCAACTTCTCTACTATGGACAAGTACCAATCAGTGAATGTGTCTTAGTTTTCTAAGTTCTTCTAAGCTTTGCCTGAGAAAAATTCTATAGCTTTCACCTGACATGTCCATAAAATCAGAAGCACCACACAGAGCAAAGGATAAACCCAGGCTCAAGCACAGGTATTTAAAGGTATAATACGCTATAATACCCTCCTTGGTAATAAGAGGATATTAAGTGCACCTCGGTAAAGAATCTTCATGACAGGACCTAGTAAGAGGTCTCAAGTATCAGTATCAATTAATTCTCTATAGATAGCATAAAATAAACATTGAAATTAGGTAAAATTAAGCACCCAAAATTTATATACTTTATCACCTCTACTACAAATTTTTGTTTGTTTTTATTGGAATTTAGCAAAAAATTAATAAGAAAGTTTACAAGAAGTTAAATATTTAGAAAATACTGAGAAAGTAAAAGTGTTCATTGGTACCACAGCATATTCATCCATCCAGCAAACCATTAAATGTCTGCATACCAAATGCTCTTAACAGCAGTGAAAAAAGTCTATGCCATACAGAGCTAACATTCAAGTAATGGGAGACAGGTTGATAAGAAGGGCTGAGGTTAAGTACCCAGGAGAACAGAATAATCAGGGTAAGGTCAGAAGGATATGTAGATTACCATACCTGGCCAGGAAAGCCTTCTCAGTTACAGTGATATTTGAGAAAACCTGAAGAATGTGAAGTTCCAGAATTCCAGGCACCTGAACCTCTTTGCAAACTTAAGAGACATGGAGCCAGTGTGGCTACAGTGGAATGAACTGGGAAAGCACTGTGGGAGTGGGAAAGAGAGGGCAACACAGGATTCAGACCACTCTAGGCCATTTTTAGATCTGGGCATCTAGCGTGAGAGAGATTGTGAGCAGATTGGAGGATTTTAAGCAGAAATGATCCTATTTAATGCTTTTTAGAAGATGACTGTTCTGTATGAGAACAGACAGGAGGGGAACAAAGGTTGAAATGAGGAATGAGAAGAGACTATAACATATTCAGAGGGGTATGTTAACTTCACTTATTAATACGCTCTTTCATTATTCGACACCATATTCCAATAACTCAAACAGCAATCAACTGAATTGCTCTCATTTGCACTGGACAGGGGATTGGAGTTTTTGAAGAAGAAATAAGAGACATATGCTGTTTTTCAGGTTCTAGTTTGACCTATTAGACAGTGGTTCCTTACGTCAATTAGTGTAGTAGGTAAATAAAACAAAGACTGCTAGCTTCCCGATCATCCTTTTAAAAAACTCTCTCAAAGGATCAGAAAAAAAAATATTTTATTTTCATACTGGATTCAAAATGTTCATACTGCTATTATTCATAGCTCTCATCACAACATACATATAATGTTGCAGTGAAAACCCACTTAACTTATATTCCTGAAAGATAAATTGAAATAAATATATTGCAAACCATGAAACCCATTAACACTCTCCAAGACTTCTGTTTCATAGTTATTTATAAAATCCCTCCTGTAATGAAGACACTCAATCACTATCTCCAGTTTCCTTGGTTTAGCATGTCTAACAGCAGCCTCGCCCACACCATGTTATTATCACTTTTGGGTACTAAAAGCTGGTTAGGAAAACCAACAAACACTGAACACCTTTCAATTCTTTCAGCTGCGCTTGAGTGTTATTAATTGGTTTAAGAGGGTGTCAGAAACACATGCTTTCCTGCACACTTTGGTGATTTCATCCTATGCTCAAAGCACTTCCATAAATTAAATCATCCTGGCTATGTCATGAATCGCAGCTGGCATGCCTGAGTACTGCTCTTTGATGATGAGCAAGCAATACAAAATAAGATGCTGAATCCACTCTTTAGAATTTCATTTCCAGCATCTTGTATGATGTTACTCGGCAGGATTTTAAAACAAAAATAAATGTTATGATATAGTTCACTTTGGTTTTGAAAAACCTAAGCCCACTAGCCAGAAAATTAATGGCTTTTTCCCTTTCCAAAAAAGCAGGCTACATCTATAGCCAGGAAGGGAACTGGGCTGGGGGCTGGGTAAAGGCTATTTAAATGGATAATCCAGCTTTTAGCTTACCAGTAGAGATTCAAAGGGGGAGTTGCAGGCTGCAACTGAGAGTCTGTTACAGCCACATACACTGCACCCCTATTTCTTCACCCTCACTGGATGTGTCAAGAATCTGCCTCATTTAAGTTCTACTAACAAGTAAAGAGATTCTCCTCTCTGGGGGCAGGCTTGTGCTGCACTAATATTGTTCCATACTATCTTATCTGTTCCCACTCTCCTTTCCCTTTAGTTACAAACTCCTGTTTCATTTTTATTTCATCTTATTGTATTGGAGACAATTTTTTTTTTCAAAATGCCTTAAACCCTTCCTGGGATAAGGAGAGAGAGAAATAAATCAAGATTTCCTTCTCCGGCTCAAAATTTAAATATAGCAGGCAAGGAGAAACGGCGAAAAGGGGTGTGTGGGTGTATATGACAAGATTTCTCGGTATCTAAGAGAAAATGGATAGAGGGGGGGAAAAAAACATGCTAAAGAGATCTGAAAGCTGTGTATGTGTACACAATCATTCCCAGAGCGGAGGGAGAAATTCGGGAAGAGGGGAGGGAAAAGAAAAAGATCAGTCGAAGCAGTAGCCCACCCCGACCCCTCCCAACCCACTGCAGCGCTCTGCGCTTCCCAGAAAGCTCATCCCCAACGAGCAGATTTCCGGCGCCGAGCAATGGACCAAAGGGTGGACAGGCAGTCTGGGGAGGTCGGGAAGGACGGGGATGGATAAGGACAGGCTAAGGGATGTGTTCTGGCTAGGGAAAGAGCGAGGACGCCAGCGAGGCCAGATGAGACCGCTTGCCGAGATGGAAAGGCAGGCCGGGACTGCCAGCACCTACCTGGAATGGTCAAGGTAGAAGATGCCCCAGGCACCTCTGGCCTCTCCTCCTCCGCCTCCTCTCGCTGCTTTTGCTGCTGCTGCTGCTGCTGCTGTTGTTGAATGAGGCTGAGGTCCGAGCGGCTGAGTTCGGCTCTGGCGGCCGCCGGGACCAGCTGTGCCTTTAGCAGCACCGCAGCCAGGCCGAGAAGCAGGGTGCAAGGGACGCGCCGGCAGAGTCTCGCCATGGCCGAGAGCCAGAGGGCCGCGGAGGCATATTGCGGGGAT